AAATGAAAATATGATTAGTACAGAAAACACTTGATCTGTATAAAACTTAATTTACTTTTCTTTCTCACTCCCTGTCTTCTCCATTTTCACAATTCATGGACCCCTTCCCCCATTTTAACTTCTATTCCCTTGCCTTATAACTTTTAACACTTTAAATAGTGGACAAAGAGTAGCAAGACAACCTTCTCAGGCAGGGAAAATTTCACCAACCCATGTGCTGGACATCATACTGTGCCACTTATTCTTCCCTAAAAGCGCATACTTTTATGCTAATTGCTATTTAACCCAATGGCGCCGGGTGTACAAAAGAAAAAAAAAAAAAAACTCTACGCTTAAACAAACAAAGGCGGCGCGCCGACTTTGAGCACGTGAGTAGGGGACATCAGCCCGAATCACTGGCTCGCCGCGCTTTGGCGCACCGCCGGCTCGTTTGGCTGCACGCCAGCTTTCGAGCTCTTTGTTTACACGCTGATTGGCGTCACCCGGCACCAAGGGGTTAAGGGTTAAGCCTATATGAATGAGAAGCATATATGTTTGTAATATTAATAAGACTGCCTGTTCAGAGTACAGAATACAATAACAAACTATTAATATGTAAATGTTGGGCATGGCTATTTTGTGGTCACTAAACTGTGCTGTGAATCTAAATCTGCCATACGAATGTAAGTATTATGTATCTACTCTATTATTGAAACTATAAATAATTTAATAGGAGATCATGATGAAAGATATTAAATCTATAAAAATGTCAGATTGTCAGGTAATTACAATAGAACCCATTTAAAATTTCTCACATAATGAAAGAGAAACAGAAAAAGGTGAAAATGCATTGTTCACCTGAACCTATGTCTCCCTAAGTACAAAAAAGGACTCACATCACACCCCTAATTAAATTTGCTGGCTTTCAGGTATATACATGAAAAGGAGGAGTGAACCGTTTCATAGAGTACCTGATTCTGCTTGAGGAGGGATGTACACAGCAAACTTCATCTGACATCCCAACTCTTTACTGTGAAAAAATAAACGTAATGAATGTTTACTTATGGGGACAATGCAGCTAATTTACCATAAAAACACTGCCTTTCTTAAAAATCTGTCTGGGTCACTTTTCATACCAACATTTATGGGATTCCCACATCAGGGGACTAGTGAGTAATTAATACTTATGTTTATATACTTATTTTACGGAAGCTGCAATTCCTATAGGTAGTTATAGTCCTAGGCAAGGATTTACTTCATGTCTTACTAAAATGTAATGAACTAAACCCAAATGGGTAACCTAAAACCTTAGTCCCAAATAGAAAAAGGAATTAAAAATCTGTATATGTAATCATTCTAAAAGCAACTTTTGTGGATTTATTCACATCCTAAAGGGACACTAACAAACTAATAAATGTTTCATATATTGTGGTATACAGTAGTTAATTTCTACAAATGGGTCTTAATGCTGATATGGATATTCATTTAATCTATAGGTATTCAAAATCTAGTTTAGTTTGCCTTTGATTATCCTGACCTGAATTACTCTTCCATGTGGGAAATAGTACTTTCAAACATGTGCATGGGAGGGGGGCTATATGAATAAAAGTGAGTAAAAAATACAATAAAATAATATAAAATAATATAAAATAAAATAAAACAAAACAAAAAAAACAAAATAAAATAAAATGACATAACATAACATAAAATATATATATATATATATACATATATATATACATCAAGTGCTCACCTCTCATGTGAGTAGACTTTCTGGAAGCCTCCAAACACTTTGTTGGAACTTTCCTCTTTGATGCTTGCCATGATGTTAGATCCAATCAGATGCAACTGTTAGGGGAGACAGGAGAGGAAGAAAAAAATTAGACAAATATAATACTAAAATGAGAATACTTCTTGTAATAAAATGCACTTATTCTTAAAAGGGATACACTCTTGTACTAAAATGTATTCTCTATTCTAGTATCTATAATAACTTATACCTGTGTGAAAGTCAGTAACGAATCCGGAACCCAATTAAGCGAAGATGATGAAATATCACACAAATTCGTATTAACCAATACTGATCAAATTGTGAATGCTCTTAGCCTATGATTAAAATTAGTATGGTAATCATCCAGAAAATGACCACGGCAAATGATACCTTGGGTTTCCCATCTTGCATTATGGCAGAAGCCAATAAGACTTCAACAAATTTTCTTGCTAGACAGTGCTTCTTGGACTGGATGATTACTAATGGTTCATAATCATTGCTACTTACATTTCTAACAAATCTTCTTGTAGCAGTGATCATGACATATACTCAGTGTAGGTTTCTGGATGCAGGTTTGTATTTAACTGATACTATGTGGTATATTGGAAAGATGGTCATAATATTATTTCTCTTTTCAAACCAATACATTATATACAGTATGTCTGCATATATACATGTAAATGCATATGAATAAATGCAAGTATTAACAAAAGTACATGAATATACCTAAGTAAATAAATATCTATCTATACCTAGGTTTCTTTCTCTACCTTTCTATATATATAGAATTATTTCTGGTTGTGGCAAAAGAGGTTTTCATGATACACAGTAGTCCATATGGAATCAATAATTGATGAAATCTACGATGCTTTTCATGACATTTCTTAGATAACTGAAATTAAAGATCCAGAAATATAAAACTCAGTACTTCCTTGACCCTCATCCTTTCCATTTTCTTTTTCCATGCACTGATATGACTTCAACTACATAAATAAAATGCCTGGTATATCTGGTATGACACCTTATATCCACTATGACAGAGGTACTTATATAATGGGATCATATGGAAAATTATACATATAGCTCTAAACACAAGAGGTTTACATATTATTTAGTGGGAAGGACGGTAATTCTCCGTAATACAGATGCACTCTCCAGAGACAAAGTCCCCAACTCCAAGTCAGATCTTTTCAAAAATCTAAGTTATGTTGAATAGGCTTGTCCTTTTGGGGGAAGTTACTGGGGGCCTACACCCCCCAACAATCCAGGCAAACACTGTCTTCATGTCAGTGTACATGGCATGATAAGAGCTGGAGAATCAAGTGGACTTATGCTGCAAGCAGTACTTTCCATGATCTTTCTCCTTTATTTAACTCTTCAATGACAGTATCAGAGATCTCTCAGCATCACTGACACTACTGACTTATGCCAACTGTCCTGCTGTTTGACCTGGGAGTCCGCTACATGTCGCGGAACTTTCCATTCGACTCACTCTAGTGTGTCGCTATGCCCTTATCCATACCAGGCATGATGGGTCGGCTTGTTATGACGGCTATAGGCATGGCCCAGGGTTAAGGCCTTATCATATATATATGCAGATTATTTCTTGTACCGATAACTGCAACTTCTTGTCCTCTACAAAAATATTATATTCAATTTGTCCTAGCTAGTATATCCATATCATAAAGCATAACTGCGAGTTCCTCCCAATGCATTCAAATAATTTTTACTGTGTACCTTGTGAACGGTTTCTAAATTATGTGAGCTCCTACTTTGGATAGTTGTATACCTTCTTGGCATGGCCAAAGAGGGCCTGTTTGCATGAAGTGCCACAAATGGCATAGCAAAAATCATCATTTGATTGATGAGATGGAACCCATAACATGCCCCTGCTTGTAGCTAGCATGTTGATTTAAGGGTAGTTTTCACTCTACAATCCAGGAATCACTCTACAATTCTTTTTTTTCAGTCGTTTATACAAAAAATAATCTGCAGATAAAGGAAGGTTGCAGAAAGTGTCGCTCAGAGACAAAGTCCACTCAATGCTTCAGAATTTGTGCTCCATCTTGCTGTGCAAACCGAGGTGACAACAATATTTGGGGGGGCTGGGGGGTGGACTTATCTATATCAAATAACTCTTTCAAATAGCACAGGGAAATGACTTAAGATTTCAGTTTGCTAAATCCTTATACTGTTTATCATGACAGTCATCGTCATACAACTAAAGCTAGAAATTGTCATGTACCCGAAAGCTTTGCTAATTTGCGAATTTACTGTCAAAATTTCTCCAACCAAATAACAGCACTACAATGGCCAGTGAATCTGATTGGAATGTTAAGTTCACTTGATATTCCATTGCAAATTGCACAGAACACGGAGATAAGCAGGACCAACCATCACATGACTCTGCACCAGTGTACTTACAGCCTATTCTACTGCTCCCTGCCTTCGCGAATCTACTTCCCTTGTCCTCCAACCCTTTCCCTGCCCTTGTCCTCCAACCCTTTCCCTGCCCTTGTCCTCCAACCCTTTCCCTGCCCTTGTCCTCCAACCCTTTCCCTGCCCTTGTCCTCCAACCCTTTCCCTGCCCTTGTCCTCCAACCCTTTCCCTGACAACCCTTTCCCTGCCCTTGTCCTCCAACCCTTTCCCTGCCCTTGTCCTCCAACCCTTTCCCTGCCCTTGTCCTCCAACCCTTTCCCTGCCCTTGTCCTCCAACCCTTTCCCTGCCCTTGTCCTCCAACCCTTTCCCTGCCCCTCCAGTGTCCTACTTCTCCTGCCGAAGGACGACCTTGAAACCTACCCAGCGCCTGTGCCCGAGAGTGGCCGGTGTGAGGGTGGCCGGTTCGCCTTATCGACCTTATCAGTGACCATGGAAACTAAGACCATGTGTGTAGGTTACTCTACTCCCACCAACAGTATGCTATGTTTCTAGAAAGGATGAAATGTAAAAGGATCACCGTGGTTCAGGCGAGATATTCCACCGTAGAGTTTTTGACTTGGACTCGTTCTCTGTGACGGAGCCGTTTACTTCACCGTTGATTCTTCTTTCGGAAATCAGGGTGAATCGCGTATAGGACGATCGCAATGGATTCAGAGGGATTTTAGAAAAATAAAGAATACGATAAAAAGGGATGTTGGTATTTTTTTTTAGAATGTCGGTTATTGCCACAGCGACGTTTCCTCTTGGGTGGCATGCGTTATAGCCTGCGCCGGCGGGGAATTGCAAGGCGGCGAGTGAATAGCCCCCTTTGGTGTCCTTTGGGAAGGGAGCGGCCCCGGCAGCGACTGAGGGCGTCGGCGGGGCGGGCGGCGGGCGGGCGCGGGCGGCTGCTGGAACGCAGGCGGCGACGAGCGATGTTTGGAGGGCACCCGTGATGGCGGCCAGTGCGCGGCGCTCGGCTCGGCGTTCGGTGTAAGGCAGCGGCTCAGCGCGGAGGCGGCGACCAAGCATGAAGGGACCGCGCGGGTCACGGCGCCTCGTCTTGTGTGCAGTGTCTATAGACAGATAGTAAGGGAGACCATGTCCTGGGGCGGCGGCGGAGGGAGGCTGGCGGCGGGAGGGCTCCACGGGGATGGCCACAACCAACCCCATCACCAGCAGCAGCAGGTGGGCGTGGGCGTGGACGTGGGCGTGCAGGAGGTGATAGCGCGGGCGCTGGAGACGTGTGAGACCCACCACCAGTTCATCGCCTCGCAGGCAGAGCACCTGGAACGCCTGAGGTCGCAGTGTGCCACCAGCGCCCAGCTCACGCAGCAGGAGATCCGCACGCTCGAGGTGAGCCCCTGGCCCTGCCCTCGGCCTGGCCCTCAGCCTGGCCCTCGGGCGCTGGCACACCCTTTCCTCCTCGAAGCACCCTCGCCGCCCGCGACGCTCGAGGCTCGCCCTTTCACGCTCATCTCGCCCAACCCTCGCTCGCCCCCCCTCCATGTGTCACCCTTGACACTTGAGGCGGGGCCTTTCCTCCCTTCCTTCTCCCTTGCAGTCCCTGGCTTTGCCTTTCACTTTTGCCCTTTCACTCTTATCTCACTTATCCAACTCTTCCTTTGCTCCACTTGCTGTGTCACCCTTGACACTTGAGGGCTTTCCACCCTTGTCTCTGCCTGTCCCTCTGGCTCTCATTTTCATCCTGCTCTCACCTTTACCCTGCCCCACTTCCTGTGTGACAAGTCATGACACCAAAGTAAGACCTTCTGCAACTGCATTTCACCCATTCACTCTGATCTCGCTCTGCCACACCTGTCACTTGACTGGAACCTAGGCCAAATCAGGAATTTTTAGAAACCGACTACCAGGGCTTTTACTGACCAGATCGTTGTTCTTTTTTTGCAAATTTTGGCGAGGTTGCATCACCTCCAACTTCCATTTGCTTATCAAACCATCAATTTTCATGTTAACAAGTTTGACAATCACGAAAATTATTTTTTTCTAAGGAGGGTCATAATTTGCATACTCTGCACTTAATCTAAATGATTTCAGCGTAAAAGATGTAAAATATTTCTGTGAGCAGCAGTTGCTGTGTCCTCGGTGATTTTCAATCAAGCGGAGGCCAAGAAAAATTTTCCTTGCATTTTCTGTGGGATTTTTATTTGATGATAAATCTTGCCGTAGGTATTTTCATTATATGAGCCATATCACAACTAGTATAACCTTTACTTTCGTCCTTGTAGATGAAAATACAGATGGATTTATAGCATTTGGCACCAACTCCGAGTCATAAGCAAAATGAAATGGGCCTTACTTGTGATTGGAATATTATTTTATCGATACTTGGGTTGGTGGTTGCCTTATTCCGCAGTTTTTCAGTTTAGGGAGCAGGCCATAGCAATGCCGAGATTTTTATATTCCATGTTAACTTCTTAACTCAATGAGTGCAGGTGGCAAGGCTACAATGTCATGACCAGTGTAATAAAAGTTTTAGATATTGTCTTTACACATAGATGACTCTACAGGTGCTTAGTCACCAAGGAGTCGGCTATTAGTTTTCCCTATCTCATCTGTTTACCCTTTTCCTTCATTTTTTGAAAGCTCCACTTCTATTATTTTATTGTCTTTGATGTTATTGATATTTTAGTAACAATTTAATAATTGTAATATCAATAAGAATGATAACGATGTCAATATTAACAGTGTTGGAAAGAAAGACACGTTTATCCACCAATTCAAGGAATGGGGAAATCAGGATCGGTCACGAGGGCCAACTGATAGACTCCTTGCTGCTGAGCACATGTGGAGCCATCTATATGTAACAAAACACACTAAAATTTGAAGGGGATAGTAAATAGACATGCTGACAGTGATGTTGATAAAAATGCCAGAGACGAAGAGCATTTTAGAATTTATAAACATATCTGTTTCATATATTGACTACAGTAGGTCACTGTGTATATGTAATATGAAATACCGCTATTTCATTCTTTGTTACTAACTAACCACCATTTCATGCTTTGCTACTAACTTATAATGGCTTTCAAAATGGTACTTCTTTCTTATAGTTGTAGTGGGTGTGTTCTGTCCAAATCACTTGAAAGTGACTGTTATCTTTGTTACCTGGAATCTCAAGTCCTAACCTGATGGCTGTGGCCTCCATGCCCCTGAAGTTTTGATTTACAAGCTTGTTATTTGCAAGAACATGTGTAGTAGAAGTTTGTTGTTCACTGCTGGAGGTTCCAGTAATTGGCTCGTAGTCCAGTGGCAGAACATATTTTCTTCTTGCCCTAACAGTCCCTTTCATTATTTTCCCATGTATTCACTAATATATCAACCTTTCGCTCTTTAGGTCTCCCTTTTATTGTTTGCATACCTTCTCCTTTTTACCTGTTCCTTTTAGGCTTTCCTTGCATCTTTTCATTCTCATCTATCCAACGCTTTACTATGTCATCTTTTAACTCTCTTAACTTTGCTTTACCTGTCCCTATCTGTCTACATTTTAAGGCCTTACCAAATTTTGTCTTAACTTTGCCTTCCTGAGCCTAACTTAGCTAGTCTCTGTTATATATATAATCTCTTTTATATATAGTTTTACTCTCTTCCCAAAAGTCTCCCTATCTTGCAGTATGATTAATTTGCATAGTCATAAAAGGATTAAGATTTTTGAAAAATGTATTAGACTACTATGATTATTACATATTATAAAAGGTACTATGAATATTTTTTAAAGCTCTTGACTGCAGCGCAAGAGCAGTGATAACTTAGATAGAGCAAGACTGTTGCAATAAGCTACAAGAAATATTCATATCTGGAGTATTAGCAAAAAATTATTGATATCAGAGAATATTTGTTTCGTAGCAGAGAGCCATTTATATCGTGTAAAAATTAGTTAAGATTTGACAAATCTCGATACCCCATAAAGATCTTAACGGAATTTTTAAATTGTGTGTGCTGCCAGGGAATATGATGCAACTATAGTCATGGTTTGGCTGGTATGTGGGAGTTTCTAGGGAAATGTGCTTAGTGCTTATAGACATTAAAATCATTTTTAGATAGGCATTAAACCTCAAGCAGTGGTTGTTAACTTTCTTACTATGATGTCCCAAATAGGACTGGTCCTTGCTTATATTAGTAAAATTCCCTCCCATGTTTTAACCCATTGAGTGCAGGACAACAATACTATGCCCACTGTAGTAAAAGTTTTATATATTGTCTTCACACATAGCTACAAGTGCTTAATCACCAAGCAATCAGCTGTTAGTCTTACCTACCTCATCTGTTTACCCTTTTCCTTTATTTTTTGAAAGATTAACTTATATTAGGTTATTGTCTTTGATGTTATTAATATTTCAATAACAATTTAATACTCATGATATAAGTAAGAATGATAACAATGTCAATATTAATAGTATTGGAAAGAAAAATGCATTTTCCTGCCAATTCAAGGAATGGGGAAATCAGGATTAGTCACTAGGGCCAACTGATAGACTCCTTGCTGCTGAGCACACATGGAGCCATCTGTATGTAACAAAACTTACTAAAATCTGAAGGGGACGGTAAATAAGCCCACTGACATTGGATTAAAGAAACAAATATGGAAGGGTAGTGAGAGACTGGGAGAGAATGGGGCTTACCAATGAGAAGTATACAGGCCCACGACAATTAAACCTCCCCCCTCCCCCACGGACTTTGAGGGATAAGGAATGAAGTCAATAAGTATAGAAAATTGTTAGCCTATGCAGACTATTAGAAACAAAAAAATTAGTACAGGTGATACTTTTGCATTTTTCAATAAACCTATGCTCTTGTTAAAATAGAAAATATAATTGGAGAAGATCCTCATTTTCCCCACAAAAGATTGCTCCCAATATTGAAATTATTTGTGTTACACCCTACAGGTTAACCCAACCACCACATTCTGTCCCATGTAGATTTTTATGAATTTTGTTTTATACTGATGGCTCCACATGTGCTCAGCTGGCAAGGAGTCAATCAGTAGGCCCTAGTGACTGATCCTGATTTCCCCATTCCTTGAATAGGTGGGAAAATGTATTTTTCTATTTAATACAGTTGATATTGATACTGTTGTTATTGTTATTGATGTTATGATTATAAAATTGTTATTTATAATCTTGGTAACATTTAAGACTGAAATAATACAAAAGAAACCTTTCAAAAAGTCAAGGAAAAGAGTAAACAAATGAGATAGGTAGGACTAATAACCAACTCTTTAGTGATTAAATACTAGCAGAGCCGTCTATGTGTAAATACAATAAATAAATTTATATTACAGTGGGCATGGCATATGTTCTTGTCATCTATGCCAGTTGGCTTAAGAACCACTGCTCTTGAAGAATTAGTTACCATGTACTGATATATGTTGCTGATTTATTCTTATATTCACTTATATATGCAAAATAAGGCAAGGGGTATTCCTTGTAACAGTTAACCTTTACTTAATGTCAATAGTTGGACTGTAGCAACTAATTTTAATAGAGATAGGAATAAATTTTAATACATAATGGATTTATGCTGTTTTTTTTGTTTTTTGAGATATAAAAACAGTAGAGATGTCAGAAATTATATATATAAAACCTACCTTTTAGAAAATACAAGGAGAATGAATTAATACAATAATGTATATTGAAAAGTATCATGATATATATTTTCTAGCTTTTGAAGATACACTAGGTGAAGTTAACTTGTCTGCTAAAATTAGAATGTGCAGTTTGTGTGGGAATCAAGTTTATTCTCTCTCACACACACACACACACACACACACACATACATACATACATACATACATACATACATACATACATACATACATACATACATACATACATACATACATACATACATACATACACACATACATACATACATACATACATACATACATACATACATACATACATACATACATACATACATACATACATACATACATACATACATACATACATACATACATACATACATACATACATACATACATACATACATACATACATACATACATACATACATACATACATACATACATACATACATACATACATACATACATACATACATACATACATACATACATACATACATACATACATACATACATACATACATACATACATACATACATACATACATACATACATACATACATACATACATACATACATACATACATACATACATACATACATACATACATACATACATACATACATACATACATACATACATACATACATACATACATACATACATACATACATACATACACATACATACATACATACATACATACATACATACATACATACATACATACATACATACATACA